AATATTATTATTGTTATTATTATATTATTATTATTATTATTAATATTATTTACTATTAGGCCTATGTCTATTATTATCATTTTTATTATTGACAATATTTGCAATAATATTAAGCCTATTACTATCAATATTATTATTAGTATTAGTAATACTCTTAAATTTAAGATTGTTTTTCTTGTGTCATTTACTGTATTCAAATATAGTAATTAAGCTGCTCACCGGAAACAAACAAAATAATTAAACCCGCGTAATTTTATGATACAATTATCCTTGGATGATGGTCAAAAAGAGAGTATGCCTATGCTTACCAGCGGCTTGTACTGACAGGGAGTGCTACCGCACTGTAGTAGAAAATACATAGAACACATTACCGAAGAAAAAATACAAGTCTCCCTCCAATTAAGGAGACCACATTTGGGACCGGGGCTTCTATGGTCTTTAGCAGATTTGGTGTCTCATTATAGAATAATACAAGTAAAATACATTTGTTAATTTGGTTTCACAGAAAAGTGGTCTTTAATTGGAGGTGGTATTTATTGGAAGGGGTTTTTAATTAGAAGGAGACCTGTATTTCAATATTAAAAATATGATATTTATGTAAAATAATATAAATAAAGGCAATTACTTATATAACTAGAACTCAATAAGAATTCCTAATGGTTTTTCTCCTAAACGTGATACCAGTCCCTGCCAATATCTGGTGTTGATCTACATATATTGTGATTATAACGTCCGAATACTCATACCAAACCGGAAGGTGGCCTTGTATTAAATTTCCTATTTAACACATCGTTAAAATTACTAATTTTACGATGTGTTTAATGCATACTAAAGGAAAATATCAGTATCCAAGTAAAATATGATATTACCTCATACGATGATTTTATTTTCTCCTTTAGAGGCGGGGAGTGTAAGAGTAATACAGGTAAAGATTCAGGTACAGATACGGGTAAGTTATTAATCTATTATGAACTGTTTTACACTTTTACTTAAATCGGTCTAGCTCACTTTTTTATTTAATTTAACAATATCCAACAGCTACCGAAGTTGTATCAATAAGCGGATTTAAAATACAGTAAACTAATTCACAGTTACCATAGGCCTAAATCTTAATGTTAATAAAGACACCAAGGAATCAGACTTGTTTTTTCTTTTTATGATTGACACTTTGTTGAGGCATTACATGGGAGGATCCATAGGGCTGGGGGCTAGAGCCCTGATAAAACGAGAAAACAAAACAAAAGAAATGAAGAGGGGAGAGGGATGCAGGCCTATTTTTTATTTATAAATTTATTTTCGAAAATATAGATAACGATTGTGTAGCTAAGTGTAAGTGCATGGAACCAAAAGAAACCAAACAATGCTTGAAGTGTAAGAAGAAATGTCAAACTGAATCATCACCTGTTGATAGTACTACTCCTGTTGTTGGTACTCCTACCGTGATGACGACTACACCAACGTATACAACAGCAACAACTGAAGCAACGTTTACGACTACACTCAAAAGCTTTAGCGGGAACCCTGGTACACAACCAAATGAACTATCATCTGCAACAGGTAAGAACGCAACGCTAACCCTAACCCGTACTTCTACTACTAGTGGTGGATTGTTGCCAACATAGGGTTAAACAAGTCCGAAAAGAGCCGCCAGAACCTTGGTCAGAGTCCCGCATTAGAATCTCTGGTATTGATCTTATATAATTATATAGGCCTATATATAGGCCTATTAAATAGCCAATATAGGTATTTTGAAGCTAATAAAACTTTGTAAGCATTGTAGATTAATGAGTGTACCCTGCAGAGAAAATGAAGGTCTCTGTATATTTATATCATTTTATTTTATTTGCTTCAGGGCCAAGTATGAGTAAACATATTCCATTGATAGACGGCAAGCCAATCGACAATAGGAGTTTTTTTAACATCAACAAAGATTTCATAATAGGTATGGTTATGGGTGCAATAGCTGTCGCCATCGTAGTAATCGCCACATCTATCACGTGTTTCCTTTGCAATGCGAAGAACCAGCGACTTCGAAGAGAAATCATGCAGAGTTATGAGAAAAGGAATGACAAAGAAGGTAGGATTATATACCCAGTAAATTATTAGAAAATCTTTAATTCCTAATTCAAATTGTCCTGTATAATAATAATAATAATAATAATAATAATAATAATAATAATAATAATGATAATGATGATAATGATAATGATAATGATAATGATGATGATAATGATAATAATGATTCAAAAAGACAAAATTGTGCCACATTGTACATTGTTCAATCAAAATATTCATAGAATTTTCAAATCAATATACTTTTTCTATTTTCATCTATATCTGGCTACTAGTGTGTATAAAAGATTTCGTCGATGTTATTTTATAAAACTTGTACTTCGTTGTTTTTGTGCTTGCTTGATTTAAAGAAAAAGAGCAAATTTATTTTTAAAACATCATGTTATGATAATGATATAACAAATAAAGAAATCTTCAATTTTGATACTAAAGTGTTAAGCTCTTCCCAAACCCTCTTTCCTTACTTCCTCCCTCCCCTTTCCATCCTCCCTCAGTCATTATAAGTAGAGTATTTTTGTCATAAGCATCACGGTGGAAGAAATGAACTATTAGAAAAGAAAGCCATGACGTACCCCCTCATCCCCGTCCTCACTCACTGCTGTCGTCAGCATTTGTAACGCCAAAATCCACTACTTTGAGGGCTCACATGATATTCATCTTTCAATTTCATTTTTGTTATAGGCCTAGGTGGATTTGGAATGATTGGAAATGAAGCTTACTCAGGGACTAGTTTACGCGGGGGAATGCTTTCGGCTTCTGCGTCGACTTTGCGAGTCTCAAACGATGGCTACTACGCAAAGGTTGAAGACGACAACCTGCCAGATCATGACAACAGGATGTCACACTGTAGTTTACCTGATGTCATGGAGAGGTCAGTCGATCCAACGTCTGGATATGCCTTCTACAAACCAGACAGGCCGTCCGTTTACACCGGCTTCAAAGGACATAATAAACGAGCTAAAAATACAAGTTACGGTTTACATCGTATTGATCGACCAACTATATACACTGGTCTTAAAAGAGATACGAACAACAGACAACCTGAAGAAAACATGAGTGAACGTGTGTATGCAGAAGCGCAAGAAGTTCTGCCAGAAAGAGTTTTAAAGGGAAATGCAAGCAACGAGAATCAAACTTGTCCGATACATACATATATGAAAATTAATGAACCAAATGGTCCATCGACCGCCGCTGTTGCAACCTGTCCAAGTGCACCGCCTGTCGATTTAGACCAATCAGATACCTTTCCTAACATTACGTCACCAATCTATTTTCAGGTAGAAAATGAAAATGAAAAACATGATTATCAAATGCTGTTAAAAAACAACAACACCAAAGATGGAAATGAAGATTTTTCAGAGCCACCTAAATACCAGTCACTTGAAGAAAACATTTCTGGAGGATGTGTCAGTGACAACCAAACTCATGAATATTTCACTCTTCAACAATAATCAGTGTGAAACGAAAAATTGATGACGTCACCACATAAAATAAGTTTCACCATGGCCACGTATAGCCGCTTCTGGTTAAATGTTGTTACATGGTACTGTTTAGTAAAACGTTTTTAAAATAGTGGATTGGTTAGAGAGTAGGCCTATATAATTGAGTGGTGCTGGAGACCGTAATGTCGCCTTTAACGTCGGTCACAACTATGCCGACGTCCGGTCGACGTGAATCTAGAGAACGCAATGAGGAGAGACGCACGGAACTGCGATTCGCTCAGAGTGCCACTCTGTCAGATCAATCAGCAGACGCTTCGTGTCGTCAAACGCTCATAGGGAGCGCAGATGGATTCGTCGGCGGCCGATTGTCGTACGACTCTCGTACAACATAGTGTGTGCCCGGTTTTACAATATCAATGCAATATTTTGTCGCGGATCCTATGGATCTGTGGCTGTATATTATTATTTTCTTTGTACTATATTTCATATTTATTAACGTTGACTTAAGATTTGCTATACTTAACAACACTGTAAATATTCCAGTTTTTAATTTTTTCAGGCAATTGTATCGTTAAGCAGTTGTGTATGAGTGTGTAAAGATTACTTTATATAAACATTAAGAAGCACTTTGTCATTAAAAGAAAAACAGTATTTAGATCCGTACTTGGATATTTATCAAGGTAAATTGATAAATCGATGAAGATTATTTCCATGGCCATACACACACACACAAACACCCACACCCACAGACATATAAATATAGGCCTATATATATATATATATATATATATATATATATATATATATATATAATATATATATATATAATA